TGGGCGCATACGTGGGCGGGCCGCCTTGCTTGTGCATCAGTAGTGCGAGAGGGTGTGGGAGCGCAGCCTCGTGTGCGTCGGGCGTTCAGTTGTGCGGTGTGTGTGCGAGGAGGGTGAACACGATGCTTTCATTTCGGTCCGCACCTGCGTGTGGCACCTTCGTTGTGCACCCCGAGAGGGTGTTTGTGCAAGGGGGGGTGTGTGTGTGTGTGTGTGGCACTCACAAGTGTGTGGGGATGTGCATGAAGGCGTGCAGGGAAATGTTAGTGGAGTGCCTTCATTCAGGTCCGCGTCTCTTGTTGGAGGAGGCGGGGGGTGTGCGGAGGGTGCATCCTGCAAGACAGTGTGTGCGTGGCTCCATGTGTGTGGGGCACGCGTGAGTGTGCGTGTTCGTGCAGGGGGGCTGTGAGCTTGCTGCCTTCGCTTGGGTATGCATCTCGGGGGAGGTGGTGGGGTGAGGAGGTGTGTGTGTGTGGGGGGGGTGCGTGTAGGAATTGCAGCATGCCCCCTGCCCATGCATGCAGGGTCGGTGCTGTGCGCCGCGTGGGCGTGTGCGGCCGTGGCTCCGTGCTCACGGTGCTTTCAACAGCGTGTGTGTGCGTGCGCTCCGCCGTCCGTGTGCATTTGCACGGGTGGGGGGGGCGGGGGGGGCAGACGTGCGTGCGGTGTCTGCCTCTGGCTCAGCATCCACGGGGAGATTGGGGGGGGGGGGGAGGCTGCGTGTCCGCAGGGGCGTGTGCCCGGGCGCGCGTGGGGTTGTGTGTGTGTGTGTGTGTGTGTGTGTGTGTGTGTGTGTGTGTGTGTGTGCGGGCGTGGGGCGGGTACGCGCGGCGGGGCCGGGAGCGCGTCCGCGGCGCTGTGCCGGGGGGTGCGGGCTGAGCTCATCGCTGGCTCCCCGGCGCTCCTTACCAGTGGCTTCTGCGGTCACATGGGTTATGTGCTGGAGTTTAAAAGAGCTTATAGCCCCCGAGCCGGTGCAGAAGCAGCCGGTGGTTGCATGGGGTAGCGCCGGGAGCGGCGGCGAGGAGGGCGCCGTGAGTACCGGGCGGCCGGGGCCGGAGGGAGGTGCGGGGTGTCCGTCCCCCCCCACCCCCCCCAACCCACAGGATGGGGGAGGCGGCGGGGGGTTCCGGGGAGGCGAGACCCCGGTGCCCGCCGCTGGAGCGCCGTTTGCCTTTCTGGGAGGTGAAAAGGGGGGGTGGGGGGGGTTGGGGGGGTGGGTGGCGGGAACGCTCGCTTCCTCCCCACACACCCCCCGTGTCTGGTGTTGCCTGCCGCCCCGCAGCCGCGCACCTTTCCCCAGCGCGCCCACGCGTGTCCGCGCCCCGCCGTGGGCCGCGCGTCCGCACCCACCCACCCACCCGCCCCCCCCCCCCGGCCCCTTTAGCCCCCGCGCCGCCGGGGCAGGGGCGAAGCCCGTGAGGAAACAATTTGGGCAACTTACTTCCCTGCTCCGCCGTGCCTGTATGTCCGCCCTGCGCCCCGGCCGGGCGTTCCCGGCGGGGGAGGAATGGGGGACACGGGGTTGGGGTGGCCCCGCATCCCCCCCCCCCACACACACACACACACCCCTACCTCGCACCTTCCAGGGCAGCGGGGTCCGCGGCGGGGGGACACGGCGGGACACCCCCCGCCCCAGCGGGGAGGGCATCGCGGCCGCTGCGAGCGGCATCAGGTTGAGGGCAGGGAAGGGATGAGCCCAGCTGCCTGCTGCATTGCATGAGCAGGGCTGGAGCCGGGGTTGCGGGGTGGCTCTTTGTAAAACGGAGCCCGTGGATTTCCTAGGCGGGAGAGCAGACTTTTTCTTCCTTTCTCCAGAGGCGCAATCTGCCCTTTCCTCTGCTGTGGCAGTGATGATTTTTATTATTTTTATTTTATTTTTTTGAGTGGGTGGTGTGATTTTATAAGAAAAGCGTCTGCATGGCGCTTCTGTGGAACTGCTCTCCTTGGGCTAGGCAGTTCATCCCGAGCGTGAGTACGAGGGCTCTTTTCCAGAATTGCATAATACACACCGATCCCTTTGCTGTACAAACTCCCTGACATTTCCAGATCTTGGTGACTTCCCCCACTGCAATCTTAAAACCGGATTGGGACTCCAACCAGCGCGTGAGCTAATTTGTGCTGCCTTCACTGGGGACAGAACCTGGTCTGCATGTTTCGGCTTCCCTGCCTCCTCTGGCAGTTTTTTCTTAAACTTTTTTTGGTATAAAGATCGGCACTTCTCTTTCACTCTCTTAGAAAGCCCCTTTCTTCCCCACCCCATGCTTATAGGCATATGTGTAGGGTCGATACAGAGCACAGGTTGCAGAAAGGGGATTGCCTGCAAAGCTGTTTGATTTCTTTCTCACGTCTCTTTGTGTTTTAATTTGTGGGATAGTCCAGGAGGTCTTTTCCTCAGATTGGTTTTTGCTCAGGAACTTGCTGGCTTCTGCTAGGATCTTGCTAATTTAACTCTGACCGTGCCCACTCTCAGTTCACGTGTGTTGTTTACCTCTGTGAGGGACAGGACCTGCACACGCCACTGCCCGTCCTGCCAGCTATGTGTGCAGGCAGCGAGGCAGGGACACTGGCTGCTTCCTCTGAAACGTGCAAATAGGTGGGAGCAGGCCATCCTTGCCCCCTGCTCTGCCCCTCCATGAGGAGTTAGAGCTCTGCCGTGATGGCTGGAGGTATGCAAGAGATGCTCGTGTCTGACCAGCATCTCGCTGGGACCAGAGCTTGCTGGGGAGGGTGGACTTTTCTGAGGCAGGCTGTGCTTTGGAAATGAGAGCCTCATGCCTGGCAGACTTCTTTGCAACAGCCCTTTAGGATAACTTCATCAGAGCCTGCTGTCAGAGCAGGCCAAGCCATGATGTGACAATCGTGCATTATCTTTGGTCTGATTTATCCTGAGAGGACCCTATCCTGCACCGGCACTGAGCCCCCATCTTCATAAAAGGTGCTCAGCACCTCTTGGACTTGGGAAGGAAGAAGCCTTGGTACCTTCTCAGAGCTGCAAAGCTTGAGATGCACATACACATGCAAGTAACTGTGCAGCCAAGGCTCAGCTTTCGGAGACGTGGCCGACTCTGAAGCCAGCAGCAGGAGTTTCGTGGGTGCGAGCCCCAGCTCCTGGCCACTCTCACTGAATTCCCCAGCAAGCTGGAGAAATGCATCCTGCTCCAGCTCAGGCTGGGGCTGGGTGCGCGCATGGGGAGCCTGTCTCTCGGCTCTGTCGTTTATTATTGCTGCCGCTGCCATTACGCCTGACAAATGGGAGTTGCTGACTAATGTGCTGTTTGTGTGTAAATATCTGAGTGCTCGCAGCTGAGCTCACTCCTGTGACTTTGCAGGAAGCTGCCTCAGCACCTTTCCCCCCTTGAAGACCTGGGAGTGCAAAGGCATCCTTCTGTGGGGACCTTCCCACCTCTCCCAGCAGCTTTAGCCTTCACTCTCTGCTTTTTTTCCGGCAAGCCTCCATCCTCTCAAGTTAACGTGGAGGCCCTGCTGCTTTCCCGAGTGTGTCAGGGGTGGGAAAGGGCTCTGTCTGCATGCATGCATGTGTGCACACCTTCTTAAGTACCAAGGCACAATTGCTCCCAGGGGTCCTTATGCAAGGCAAAACAAGATTTGGGGACTTTGTGTGTTTTGATAGAGGCAGTCACACACAACTAGGAAAGGAGTTTTATTTTGTCTTAGTTTTTGGGTTTGTTTTTTTGTCGGTTTTTTTTTGCCTACTTACTCAGCCCCAAGTTCCCCTTAATTTCATCCCATTACTCCTGAAGACGTTAAATTATTCCTTCCCATATCGTTTTCATCCCATTTGCAGATTAGCATCCAACTGCTTCTGTCAGTACTTGCTCAGCCCAGCTAGACAGATCGCAGCTCTTTTAATCTCCCCTTGTAAATCAATCCCTTCTGCCTCCTGATCATTTTTGTCACTCGTTTTTCTGAAATCCCTCCAATTTGTCCATTTTGTGTCGGTGACGTATGTCTGGCCCTAAACATGATGTATACCAGGCATGGCAGCGTGAGGGAAGGACACCTCCTCCCCTCCCACCCCGCTGGGGCTTGTGATGCTTTGTCAGCAGTGAACTGAGTTACTTCCCCATTATTCTAAGCTATAGTCCCTGCTCGGTGTTGCAGAAGAAAGCAGCATACCCAGGTCAGTGCCCTGGGGAGAATTCCTCCAAATTTTGGTGATATGTTGCCGAGGTTTGCTTGCACACTGCTAGGACATGCTGGAAGGGGCCGGTGCTCTAGGTGCTGTCTGTGGGGTGCCTCTCCTCACAGGAGCTAATAGTTCAATGAGGAGGCATGAGCAGAATTAGTGAGGGCAAGCTGCAGTGGGGCTGCTGGACAGATGGGGAAACAGAGGCATGTGCACAGGTTCAACGCACATTTCCTGTGCTCCTGTCTAGTGCATGTCTCTTGTTCACGGTCTCTGTGTGTAGGGTCTGGTCCCAGTTGCACCCTTTAGTATTGCAGCCAGCATGGACATTTTCTGAGGAGACACTGGATCTTGTCTCCTGGTCAGAGCAGGCGAGCAGGCAGGGATGCTGGGTTCTGGGCTGGTTTTGTGCATTGCTTCTTGTGCTGGCGTCCAGAGCTAGATGCCACAGGTGCTCTTACAGGAAAAAAAAACAGTGACTTTGTGCATAGGCAGTGATGTCTTGCATTCGTGCACTTTGAAGTTTTGTCAACCCAAACCCTGAGCTCCTAGTACCGAGCACTCCCATTCCCTGGAAGGAAGGGCTGTGCCCTTCCAGGGACCATCTATTTTTAGGAGGAGTTGTATTCTGGACAGTATCCACCGCAGATGCTCTCTGCCTCCTCCACTCGGCCCCTTGCCAGGGACACTGCTGGGGCTATCTGCCGGTGGGGCAGACCTTGCTGAGGCTCTGCAGGACCGTAACAGAGGTGACACCGTGACGGGCACGGGGGACACTTGGGGGGCTATTGCTGCCCTGGGGGTGCTCGGGAGGGCCAGCGAGCTCATGCTTCCCTTCACCTGAACTGTTGGAAATGGCATTTAACTGTGCTCTAGGTACCGGGAGGACACGGTGCCGGCTTTACTGTGGGGTAAGTAAGGGCAGTGCCTGGGGCAGGGTGGTGCCCGGTGCCCGGTGCCGGTGCCGGTCCGTTCGCCAGGATGACACTAGGGGGCACGAGATCTGCTGGAATCCCTTTGTCGGGGATGGGGAAGGAGGATGCAAAGCCGCTCTTGGCCCTGCAAGCCCGTCCGTCATCCCGCTGCAGATTTTGCAGGAGTCCGAGTGTTAAACCCCAAGGGCTGCCCCGGGTGACTCGTCCCGCGGCAGCGGCAGGACGCGGCTCTCCGGATGCTGCTCCGCTGGATCCCTGCGTCGCCCGGCCGTGGGAGCAGCAGGAGTAAGGATGGGAGCGCTCAGCCGGAAACATCTCCGAAGCAAGGAGGAGATGGATGCAGCCAGAGTGCCAGGGAGTCTCCGGGGAATTTGGGAAATCCAGGAAAACACCTAGCACGGTTTTAATGCCTCTCTGGAGGCATTGTCCGGAGCAGGGATTAAGTTAGACTCAGGGTTGGCTTTCAAGATGCAGCGTGTTATGGTTTCATTTTCCGCTGGATGTTAAGTTCACGCATGATGTCTCTTCGGGGTCATGTTTTCCCAAAGCAGCAGAAACTTTAGAGAGTCTGATTTAATGAATGGTTCTGATCGATCTGAAACATGGGGGTAGGGGGGTGTACAGGTATATGTTATACATATGTATCTATGTATGTATCTGGGTAGGGTGCAAAGAATGTGTTTTTGAAGGTGCGTTTATGCATTTCTGCATACATGCAGCTGTAATATTTTCTTCTGTCCTTAAAATCTATTATTCCAGCTGTGAATGCATGTATGTATACTAAAACACTGTATACTGGAGTCTATCTCTTGTTATAACAAATATTGCAAAAAGCAAATAAAGAGACATTGTTCTCATAGCAGTCTTGGAAGGACTCAATATTTATCTTCTATGAATTTTGATAGTTTTTATTCAGCATATTTGCTGTTATGATGGTGGGGATTTTTCTGCCTATCTACTTAAAATTTTGTGCTAGTGGGAAACTGAAAAGATTCAGATAATTTCAGTTTATTCATTACTTAACAAAAACAGAGATCAAGCTTCTGGATTGAAATGTTGATGCTTGATAACATTCTGACATACTAATTTCTAAATGGTTAGGTTTTTTAATGCCTTCTGTCGCCAGATATCAGGCTCCTTTGCTGGCGCACAGCTTCTCTCACAAACCCCCAGGCAATATTTTTAGTAGGACACTGATGCATCACAAATACTCCTGTTCTCCTAGAAAAGGTTTTGACTGTTGCTGAAAGTAGCACTAGGATGGCTGGAAAGGAAACATTGGGGTGGGGGGGTGGTGTTGCTGTGTCAGTGTGTTTGCTTTGTGCCCCTGATGGAGGTTTTGTGTCCAGCCATGAGGGTGCATGCCTGTGAGGATGCGAGGGCACTTCCCCAGCTGGGTTCTGAGCCAGGGCTGAGGACCAGGGGTTTATTTATTTTGAAATGGCTTGTAAAGTGGAAGGAGACCTGGGAAGAAGTGCCGAGTCTACTTTTAGTCAATTAGGGATCGTATCCGAAGGCGTGACGTGGTTTGAAGAGGAAAGGGTGATTTGTCTGAAGGTGTTACCTAATTAGAGGGTATAGTCAGGGCTCTAATTAGCCGTGACACCCTAAAGATGTCATCGAAGCCCTCTTGAGGCACTGCTGATCAGGCGGCGTGGCTGCACAGCCGGGGCTGCTGCCCTCTGTCTCGGCGGCAGCCTGGATGCTGGTGCTGGAAGAAGCTGTTTTCCTTCAGGTGACTTGCGATGACCTGCGGGGCTGCTGCCAGCATCACATGTTGTTCATAAAGTTGCAGAATGAAAGGAAAGCTGCAATAGTTGGAAGAATTAATACCAGTGCCCATTATGTGGGAAATCTCTCTCCTTTCATTAGGGTTGCTTTCTGCTGCTCTCCAATCAGGGGAGGCTGGGGGAGGAAGGCTGTAAGGGTTTGCAATAAATGATGCTGTACTGGAGTCATGGCTGCGTTTGTAGCAGCTGGAGGAGGGATTGTAACCCCTCTCTTAGCATTGCCTTACAGAGGGGACATGGGATCAACTGAAATCTGGCTTGCCCAGACCTGGTTGCATTTAAATACTATGCAACACACCCTGTGAGGGGGGAACTGGTGGGGGAAGTAGCACAAGAAATGCTGGGTGAGAGGGCGAGGCTTCAGGGGAGACTTTGCCCCGATGCTAGAAGCGACTTGCAGCCTGGACCTCCGCTGACCCAAACCTGGGTGGCGGCTGGTTGGTCCCCCTCCGAGAGGAGGGACTGTGGGCTGCTCCAGAGCTGCTCTCACTCCCTTGCTTTTTATCCATCCAGTCAACTGGTATTTACTGAGTCAGTTCACTCCACCTCATGAGGAGAGGACAGTAGGAGTTGGCCATTCCCACCAGCAGTGCTAAGAGCCAGTAGAAGCCAGGTGGAGCCGGGGAGTTGGCTGGTGAATGAGCATGGAGAGCAGGGCCCGTTGTCATTCTTAGCATCAATGAGTGAAAGCATCCTCTCCTCTATCAGGGCTGAGGTCCCCAGTGCTGTCAGAGCCTTCTGAATTGCCAGGAATCCATCCCTATAGCACCCAGATGTCCCCTGAAGGTGATGCTCACTTATTGGAGTAGCAGTGGCTGTTTCAGACCTCCTTAGGAGGAAGGAGCTACTGGTTTTCCTCTTTCAACGGGAAGAGGAGGACATCCTCGAGTCAAGCTGCATGTTTTATCAGTGCTGTGAGCAGCCTCGCTCTGCAGAGGGACTAGTGACCAGCTTTACTTTTGTAGGTAGTATCACAGGCCCCCTAAAGCAAACACGCAACCAGGCACATCCCGGTGCTAGCAGTTACTGAGGGATGCACCTGCTTTTAATTATGTGGGTGTTAAGCCAGTGAGTGCATTTTGTTCACAAAGTTGCAGCCTGGTATTTCCCAACTCCTGGTCTCTGGTGGCTTTCCCAGTCTCTGGGGCACAGGTGAGACTAAGCTGGAGACTGGACCTAGTAATTTGCAGGACCCTGCCATGGCCATGTGGGGCTGACCCACCCAGCTATCCCTACTCCACCTTACTGCCAGGGCTTCCCAGTGCAGGGAGGGGGGCACTGCATTTTGGGGTGCCATGGTGCCATGTTATAGGTGATGGATGGGGAGGTAGGGAAGAAGGTAGCTGCTTTCTGATCACTGAATCTTCTTTGCTCCAGAAATAACTTCTTTTGGGGTGACCACCAAGGCTCTGTGCTTTGCAAATGCCCAGCAGCACACCTTTGGACTAGCCAGGCTGATCCCTGCCCAAATCCTGAGCCGGCACAGCAGCTGTTGCATGCTGCATGGCATCATCTGTGAGAGGTGTAAAGCTCCCTTTGCTGGAGCTTTGCAAGCTGATCAATGCAGAAGGAGGGATCTGCTGCTGCTGCCTGCCTGCTTGGAGAAAGCAGGCTGGGCTGGGTTCCTCAGGGCCAGACGTGACCATTCACTTGTGAAATTAAACAATATTACATATAATAAAACAACCTTGTGTCTGCTTGGAATATAGGTATACTCTCTGCACTGTGGTCCTTTTGTCCATGGCCTAAAAATTGCTGGTGATAATGAGGACAGATCCTCTCCTGTGGTTAGAGCGTGGTTCTCAGATGGAGAGGGCAGGGAGCCTGTGCCAGGCTCTGCCAATGTGTGATTTATGCTCCTCTGTGCATCTGAACTAAGGGCTTGAAAAATAAATACATAAAAAAGAACGAGAGAGAACAAAACACTGCTGCTGCTCTGAGATTTGATCAAAAAAAGCTCTGTCCAGTCCTCTGGGCTTCTCGCTTAGCAAAGAGCTCTAGAAATAACAGCGTTATGTCAAAGGTGCACCCAGAAATAACAAATAACCCTCAAATGGGTTAGGGGAGGGGACAGTTTTGTTCTGGAGGCACCTGGACGAAGTGCATTTTGGATTTTTTTTTCTCCCAAAAGGGTGGGTTATTCTCACTCTCTGAATATGAGGCCCTTCAAAGCTGCCTGGGATTGCTCAGCTTTGAAATCCTTGCCTAGCCTGCCCTCTCTCTCCCCTGCACGCTAAACGCCTGTATTGGTGGGAGGCTGTTTGACTTGGGAACCCAGCTGGGAGGGGGTTGGAGAAGTCTCATCAAACAGCAGCCGCTGTTTTTCACAGCTTTCCCGCGCCGCGGTTCGGAGCGGTTTCCTCTCACCCCATACCCCGGACATGTGCGGGGCGGCTGATTCCCCACACGTGTTGCACAGACACATTTCCGTGCTGGCTCTTTGTGCCTGCCCACCTATTTGCAGCTGGGGGAGCTGAAGCTGTTCTTTCTTGTGATTCATAAAAAAAAAGTCTCTCTCTGGATGGAGTTGTCTGTGCTTTTATTGACCTGGTTCCGGGAAAGACAGAGGCTTTTCCGTCTCCTGGATGCGCGATTTCTGCAAGGGCTCTGGAGCAAGGGCTGGCTCTTGCTGCTGGTGTGTTTCCAGCCCTCCTAACATGATTAGTTTGACAGGCCCATTGGGTATGTTGGCGAGTCTAGTTTTTATTTCGTGCATGAAAGTAAGTACTGTGACGGGGCACAGAGCACTGGCTAATGCTGAAATCTATGCAGGAGGAAGCATATTGATTGGGCAATATTTTTGGCCATGTCACAAATATGCTCTGCCACCTGGCAGAAACCCATTGCTCTCTTGATGGGGCATTTCTGTAACATCCCAACTACCAGAATATTTTTGGGGCTTCCTCTTTTTGGCCACAGCTGGAGTTGTTTTGCCAGGAGAAGGTGCGGTTAGAGCTCTGTGAAACCCGAGTGTTGCAGGACACCCCAGGTATGCACCTGGGGACTCCCAGTGAAGGTATCCATCCTTCAGAAGTCCAGCCAGCTGCCATCAACCATTTCCCATCCGCACACCCTAGTTTCTGGGCTCCAGTTTGGTGTGTGTTTCCCTCTCTCAGCAATGCCAAGACACACCAAGTTCCTGGGTCTTGTTTAGATGGGATGAGGACTGGGAGGGGGATCATCAATGCTCTGTATCCCCACTCTGCGCAGTGCTTTTTGCTGTATAGACACATCTGCTGCACCCCAGCCCTCTTCGCTTTGGATCAGCAACTTCAGGTTCACCGCAGCTTGCTCCTCTGCAAAGCAAGGAGGAAGAATAACTCCAACAGCCGTGGTGGGCCCGTGACTTCAAGGGCATGCAGTATTTGTGCTTCCTAGTTTTGGCACATCTGTACCTGCATTCAGGCTAGCAGTGCTGTTTTTTTCCAAGTAGGGCTGCCTTACGTACAGGGGAGAGCCAGTTGTGCACTGAAGGACTTGCTGTCTCCCCAGGACTGGCAGTGGGAAGAGGAAGATGATGTGACTTGGCCAGGTGAGAGGTGTCAATGGCAAAGGGAATGGGTTGATGATTTTAACCTTCCCTCTTGCAACAAGGAATTAGGATGGCCTGACGTGTCTTTGGTCTAGGACCCAAACAAGAGGTTTGGCATATGGCACATCTGTATTTAGGCTTGGAGGCTTCCCCAAGGCTGCTTGCTATTGTACATTACCAGAGCCAGTCTTTAACCTTGCCACCACCTGGGGTTGCAGGGAAGCATCATTGCCTGCAAAAAGGGGGAACTGAAACCTGAAGTGGCTTTGGGATTTCCTTGAGGTCCCAGAGCAGAGCTGGTGGCAAAAAACCTTCTTGAGTTGCTCATGCCAGCTGCGGAACACATTGGTAAATACTCTGCGTAGACCAAAGCAGGGCATCCAGCTCTCTGCAAAGTGCTGTGTGCTTATCTGTCTGTCTGTCTCTAGTTCTCCCGGCAGCCAAACTCCTGAGATGACATTTAAAGGCTTTACTTTTCTCTCTTGCCAGTTCCAGATCAAATTTGCTGACTTGTCAAGCTGAAGATCCTTTTCTTCCAAGTGC